AACTAAGGACCAAAAAAGTTTAAGTGGCTGGCTTTAGGTTAATTTATCAATTAATCAATGAGTATCTGTTAATTATCTGCTATAGGCTTAAGTCACTGTGCTAGTCACTGGGGATATAAAGATAAACATGAAGCAGTCGTTACCTTCAGAAAGTTTACATTCTAATTCGAAATCCAGTGTTCTCTTCATTACTGTTATATACATACGGGGCTTGTGTTTGCTGCATAGTCCAGCTTGGCCTGATGAGATTCTCTTAACAATTGCCAAGTTTCTCATAACTTCTGGGAGCTTGGTATTTTCTCAGTAAGCAAAATGACTGACAGAGTGGCTATTTATTTAGCAATTGCTCAATAAATATTCATTAAATTGAGTTGAAAATATAGCATGGCCTACCATGACTACTTCTTTTCCACCTAGGTGAGATAAGGGTGGATTAATCTTAGCTATTGTCTTTGGCCTATTCAGGAGGGCACCCTCAAGCTTGGAACATAGGGCCAGTAGTACAGACTGAGAGAGGGGGCTTCATGGTGAGGTCTAATTCTCCACAGTTCAGTTATGTTTTGACTATATCATTGGTTGATTGAAGAGCCCTCCAGATTGGGTTGAAGAGCCCCTTCTTAAATTGGTTGTTTAGCACCGGTTCATTCCAACCTAGGTAGCCAAAAGGCATTGGTGTAGCAAATCACGAACCTGAAGCCTTGTTTTAAGTGCTGAATCTGGTAGTTGGTATTCTTCTTTTGTTGAGGGCTCTGAAGGCTTGTTTTATTTCCTCCAGAAAATCTGCATGGGAGTCTAGTATGGAACCATGGCCAATCAAGTAGGGAAAAACCCACTGGCAGCTAGATCCTCCATTAGGCTTATGACAAAGCATACCTGGATGTGGTATTTTAGGAAGTTCATTGAACACAGATCTGTGTGCAGCTGGGTTTGGCCAAAGAAATTAGATACCCATACAGAGGTTCCATTAACTTTCTTGTTAGCATTGACTGGATGCTTGGTTCTTGGTGAGGCAGGATGTAAGTTCCAAGGGGTTACTTGTCATTCCTATAGCTATCCCAATGAGTTAGCATTCTCTGAAGACAGATGGTATCTGAAGACAGGATGACATTGGCCTATGCCAAAGGGAGATCCTGAGCCTAGAGAGTCTTTATATCCATGTTGGGTCCCTCCATCTTTCCTTGTGTGTCAAAGCAAAATGCCCTGACTTTAGTGGCACAAGTCTTATAGTTTTTTTGAGTTAACAGGTAGAGACTGGACACAAGTTATGGTCAGGCTGGCAAGAGCTGTCACTTGATAAACTGGTCCAATAAAGCTATTATACACCTGGAAGGGGAGCTCAACATTAGTTCAAGGATCCGAGATCAGAATCTAGATAAGCCAGCAAGGAAAGCGTCAGCAAGTATGTTCTGTGTTTCACCAGGAAACTTTCAATTTGAATCTGAACTGCTATGTTTCTGAACTCTGTAACAACAAATTATTTGAATGACCTGCCAATTAAAAAACCTTGCCAGATGCCAATTTTTAAATCTGTGGCAGATGTACATAGATTTAAAGAGCCTGTTTCCCTTGGGCCCTCTCCTTCAAATGGAATTTGTTGTTTTATCATTGTTAGGTAAAATATAGTTGCTTTTAAACAGTAGGCTTCACTTTAGCAATAATAGTTGGAAGTTAAGAATCGTGTGTGAAAGTGGAGAAACACAGTTGCTAAACTGATATGCCTAAAACACAGATCAAGTCTGGTCATTCCCTCGTCTTTAATTGCTTCCCATCCCATTGCCTCTATGATAAAATCCCAAATTTTGAGCCTGACATTTAAAGGCTTTGGCAATACGACTTCCTTTATAGTCTCTTTTCACATTTTTCTTCTTCATACACACTCTTCATCCCAGTTAAACTAGCCTGCTACAGGGTCCCTACACGTTACATTCTATCTACAGTCTTATATGTGAGCCTCATCTATGGAATGCCCCCTTTCCTTACTGATGCCTTGTAGAATCCTTAACTTTCTTCAAAGATCAGCTCAAGTGCCTTCTCTTCCATGATGAATTTCCTGATCTCCCACTCCCCAGGTATGAGTGTATTCTGCATTCTGCCTCTTTGTATATACTATATGTTGTATATCTTTGTGTGTGTATATATATAGACATACGACATATATATGCATATATTTGACAAGCTCCTCCAGGGCAAGAACTTTCATTTTCTCTCTATGCCAGGCATATGGTAGGGGTGCCTAGGTGGTACTGGGCCTACAGTTAGGGAGACCTGAGTTCAAATCCAATCTCAGACACTGACTAGCTGTGTCAACCTGGATGAGTTACTTAATCTCTATTTACCTCAGTTTCCTCATTTGTAAAATGAGAATAAGAATAGCATTTATCTCCTTTGGGTGTTGTGAGGATCAAATGAGATAATACACGTAAAATGTCTGGCACACAGTAAGCGCTATACAAATATTGGTTATGATGATGATAACGATAAAGTATTTGTTATTGAATTGAATGGATGCAGAACGATGCAGCCAAAATAAACGCTTGTAGCTATAGGAAATCCATTTGACTTATTAGTATAAAAATGTGCATTTGTCAGAAAATGAGTTGTTTCCCATTAGCTAATTTTCCTGATAACCAAAGCTTACCGCTTCAAACACCACCAATTACAAATTTTTAAACCATTTTTAATGGAAATGTTGCTATGTTCCCCACAGCTGCCAAAGTGGTATTTCTAAAGCCCAGGTCTGACCACATGGCTTTCTTGCTCAAAAAAGTTCCATTGACTCTCCATTTCCTCCAGGAGAAAAACATGCTCCTTTCTTTGCCGCATAAAGTCCTGGCTACATTCTATTTTTCCAGAGTTATTACATGTTACATTTCTTTACACAAGCTACATTCCAGCCAGACTGGACTTATTTGTTGTTTCTTACATATAACATTCCATCTCCCACTCTGTGCCTTTGGCAGGCTGACTGACCCCCAAGCCTAGAATGCACTGTTTTTACCTTTTCATGGAAAAATCTCTGCCTCACTTCAAAGCTTGGCTCAAGCAGGACCTTCTAAAATGAAGCCTTTTTATGCAGCTAGGTGGTAAAGAGGATGGAGCACTGGATCTGAGTGCAAATCTGGATTTAGAAGCATGGTAGCTGTGTGACCTCAGGCAAGTCACTTTGTCTTAGTTTCTTCAACTGTAAAACGTAGACAATAATAGCACCTTTCTGCCAGGGTTGTTGTGAGAACCAAATAATATTTGTAAAGGTCTCAGCACAGTGCCTGGCACATGGCAAGAGCTATATAAACATTAGATATAATTTTTATCTCCTCTCCACTCCCAGATGCTGGTGCCTCATCCTTCAGAAATACATTATGTTTACTTTGAATATATTTTGTATTTATTTATGCAGTGGTGGGATTTGGTCCCCATCATCCCCCCACCCCAACTTAGCTGATGTAATCCCAGAAAGCAAGAAGCATAACAGAGGTAATGAGTATTAATGTGTTAATGAAGTATCTACCTTATTACTTTATAAAGTAAGAAAAAGATTCCTTGAATTGGAAGGGGAGGATGACATTGGTTAGCTGAACATTGGCCAAACTCCTGCTAAGTTTACCAAACCCTGGAGACAAAAGAGCATTTTAAAGGCAGGAAATAGCTTTGTGTAGTGTCATCTATGATTCTTGCAGGGGGGCAAAAAGGGGATTATTCATTTTTTTCCCCACTACCACACCCCATTGGTCTTACTATTTGCCCGGTAGGAGAAGGACATCCAGCAAGAAACGGAGGCACATCCTCCTTAGGAAGATACAGACACAGAGAGGTGGTACTTCTAAGGTAGGGACCAGCTTCAGGGAACATAACCACAGGGATGGAAAAAAAAAAAGAACCAACCGTGGATGAAAGGAAAAATTAGCCTTGGCAGTTGGGAGCTGTCCAGCAGAGTCACAGATCCAAGGAGATCAGTTGAGCTACCTTCCCAGCAGAGATGCTGCATACAGGGGAAGGATGCATTGAAAATAAAAAGCACATTGAAGCTTTGCAATACTAGAGGTGTGCATTATCTTGGCCACGTGTATTTCCTACATGTGCGCCTCACTATCAGAATACATTAAATTTATGCTCACTCTTACTACTGATGGTGTGTGTAATTGTGGGAGAAGGTGACTAAAGTTTGTGGCAGGGAATGCTGTAAAACTACTATTCTTACTATTTTCTTAGCAAATGCCTTTGCTTTGAGCTAATGGCGTCTTCTGGACTATTAAAGGTCAGCTTATGAGGGCTATGCCATAGGTTACCTGGCTGTACCTCCCTTGGGGGCACCACCTGCAAAACTATTAGTGATGAGTTGGGAAGAGAGATGGGGGGGCAGCTTGCTACGTTTTTATTTGTATGTCTTGTCTGTACAGATAGTAAGCTCCTAGAGATCAGGGGCTGTTTCATTTTGTCTTTGTATTCCTGGTGCTTAGCACTGTGCCTCATGTGCAGTAGGCATGCACAGTAGGTAAATGTTTCTTTGTTTATTGGTTGCTGTATCTGTCTCCTTAAATAGAGCATGCTGATCATAATTGAATCTTTTCTTGATGACTCAGTGTCATCATTAAAATACAATTGTATGTTATACTGTGATACAGTGATTCCCTCAGATAACTACCATGATGCATGGCATCATAGATCCAGAGCTGAAAGGGACCTCAGAAGCCAGCTTGTCTAACTCTCTCATTTTACAGATAAGGAAACATAGTTACGTGATTCATCCAAGGATACATGAGAAAATAATAGAAAGGCAAGAAGGAATCACAGACAAACAGGACAACTTGGAAAGTTGTATGTTGAATTTATTATATACTTAAAAGGAAAAGCAAGCTCTACATAATAGAGATGTGCAGTTTCATATATAATCCTCTTCTGCTCTATCACATATATGGAAATATTCATTTTAATTGGTGTTTACTTTCTGAAAAAATAAATGGAAAAAATAAGACTAAGGAAGGAAATATGTATGTATATAATTTCTCTTACAGACACACACATATGTATATGTATTCATTCTTAGCCTTTCTCTTAGTTTCTGTCAAACCCTGAAAACAAATGACCAAAGAGTTGTGCAACCATGCCATACCAACTGCCTAATACACAACTCCAACTGGTTGTGCCATATGCATTCCAAACTTAATAAGTCTATGACAGAATTCATCATTCCCTACCTTAAATCTATCTCCTTCAAACTCCTCTCCTTCTCTTGAGGTGGATACCATCTTCCTTTAAGTCATCCAGATGGGCTCATCTGTGTGTCTTCCATTTCCCTCACTTTCAGTATCTAATTAGGTGCCAAATCTTGGGGATTCTGCCTCTACAACAGCTTTGACATTTCCCCCCAGCCCTACATTCAGAGCCACCATCTTACTTCAAGCTCTCTTTCCCATATTATTGAAGTAGTCTCTGAACTGATTTCCCTATTTCCAGTCTCTCCTGCTTCTTATATAGCTGCTAAAATAATTTTCCTAAAGCAAAGGTCTGATTAATGTCTCTATAATCCTCAATAATCTTTGATTTTTTGAGTGACTCTAGGATTTTAAAAAAATCCTAAGATTTGTTTTTAAAGTCTGTAACAATCTAGCTCCAGTCTAACTTTTCAGGTTTTTACATGCTATGTTCCAGAAAAATTGATCTAGTTGCTGTATCCCAGATTCAACATTCTATTTCCTGCCTTCATGTTATCTCCTACTCTCTGTTTTGTACCTGGAATGCTTTGCCCCCCTCACCTCCACCTCTTAGAATATTTCAATTCAGATCAGGTACCATGTAACTTGTAACCTTTCTTGATATCCATAGTTGGCAGTACTCTTTCTTTCCTCAAATTCTATGGCTTTTTTCCCCCTTCTGTTTACTTGTCAGAAGGTAAAATTCTTGAGGGTAGAGACAATTAAAATGTTTTTGTCTCTGTATACTTGGAGTTTGGAACAATGCCTTCCACATGGCAGGTGCTTAATAAATGGTTGTTGAATAATTAAACTGAATGCTGAAATTTTAAAGAAAGGGGGTGCTTTTCAATTTTTATTCAGGTTCTACAGGGAAGACTAACTCCAACTTTCTAGGCAGTAGGAAATGCTGCTATCCTAGGTGGATTCAACCAAATGACATACAAGGAGACAATTTATCTTTTTTTTTTTGGCAGAGGAAAGAATAATTTTTCTCATCTAAGACAATCTCATCTCAATCTAGAGGAGACCTACTTGTGATCAGAAACTTATTTATTTTCATGACTTTACGAAGAGGTCAGGTTGACTCTAGGGTAACAGAACCCAGGGCAAAATCCAACGGCTTGGTCTACAGTAGGAGAAAATTAATATTAGAAAAAAAAGACCCGCTAAATTTTGGGCTGCCTTGAGCACATAGTAAAAGACTTTATTCTTGTGTCTAAGGATGCTTTGGCAGAAGCTCTGCTCTGGGGGGGGATGTGCTGACCTTAATTAAAGACCTAGGTATTGTGAAGTAAGGAATGAATATCTTCCCCCACCTTCCTTAGACCATAATATTTTAAGAATAAAATTTTAAAAGAGCTGAACCCCCTTTTTCAGGTTACTCTCTTCCCCCTACAGCAACCTCACAAAGGTAGCAAATTTATTTTAAAAGAACAAAGGGCCTAAGGGTCTCCCCCAGAGAGTTATGCTCTAAGGTTTTTCCTCTTTTCTGTTTTATCTGAAAACTTCCTCTTCCTTTTCCCCTCAGGTGCAAAGAGCAGCTACCTCTCAGCTACTGTACCCCCGAAACCGACGAAATAGAAGTGTCCCCTGATTTTCTACCCTTGACTTGGCTTCGTTGAAAGAAGGCTGACTTAACCAGGGCGTGGAGCGGGCACTTCAGCCACAGGGTGGCGCGCGAGAATTTCCTAGGTCCAGACTGGCCACAGCTGCTTCTGCTCTCCTTTGCTCCTCTTCTTTCCCTCTCCACGACTCCCAGCAGACAAGTCCCCATCTCCCTCCTTCCACTCCCCTCCCCCCCAATCTAGCCAAGGTGGATGGTGGACTGAACAGCTCTTTCGCTCTAGAGGCTGCACTGGACAGCAGCCACGCCTGGTCCATGTGTCAGGGGGGTTGCTGCTTCCCGCGGGCGGTTCCCTAAACTCGGCTCCACCTCCTCCTGGTCTAGCCACCTCCTCCTCCTCCCCCCTCCACCTTCATCACCTCCTCCTCCGCGCTCCAAGTCTAATGCATCCCCATTGCAGCTGCGGAGCTGAGCAGCAGTGCCGGGGCGGCTGGATGCGGAGCGCGCCGGCGGTGGCAGCGGGGAGGGACATCAGCAGCACTAGCAGCGTCTTCAGCAGCTGCCGCCTCCTCCGGCCCCAGTTGGGCTCGTCCGGCCCTTTGCAAGCTTAAAAACAGAGAGAACAGGGAGGACAGGGGCACGGGAGCAGTCCGTAAAAAAAGGCGGGGGGGGGGGCGAAGGAAAGTGCGTGGCTTGTTTGTCTGTAGGAGGCGAAGTGGCATACTTGGATTAGGGCGTGGGAGAGGGGAAGGGAAAGGCAGCTGCCTTTGAACTCGCCTGGGCGCACTCCCGGACTCCTACAAACATGTACTTGCGCAGAGTTGGGACTGGTCCCCGCGGGAGCACGCGGGTTGTCGCCCCGGCTGGGGTGTGTGAAAGCGCGTGTCCAGGGATGGAGATGGAGAGATAGGATGGGCGCACAGCTCGACCCCCGCAGCCCAAGCCCAGCAACGCCCCGGTGACTTACTGAAGCCCTGTGGCTAAAGCCGCGGAGCGGGGTGGGCTGGTGGGGGTGGTGGGTACGCTGCCCAGCGGCCCTCTTGCTTTTCTGCACCTTCTCCTTGAGTCGCTCATTCTCCACTTTTCATCCACCCCACTTCCCACGAGGGGAACGTCATGTCCAAGGCTACGGGGGGCGCAGCGGCAGCGGCGGCGGCCGCAGTAGCAGCAGCAGGGGCGGAAAGTTGCTCCAGTCCGGCCGCCTCCGCCGTGGTCGAGGACCTATCCAAAGTGTCAGACGAGGAGCTGCTCCAGTGGAGCAAGGAAGAGCTGATCCGCAGCCTCCGCCGCGCAGAGGCGGAGAAGGTGAGCGCGATGCTGGACCACAGCAATCTCATCCGGGAGGTGAACCGCCGCCTCCAGCTGCACCTTGGCGAGATACGCGGCCTCAAGGTAACCGCCCAGAGCGCACGGAGAGGGTCCGGGCTAGGGACGGCACTAAGACAATACACCTCTCTCTCTCTCTCTCTCTCTCTCTCTCTCTCTCTCTCTCTCTCTCTCTCTCTCTCTCTCTCTCTCTCTCTCTCTCTCTCTCTCTCTCTCTCTCTCTCTCTCCCTCCCTCCCTCCCTCCTCCATCACCCCTTCTCCGCCTCTTTCCTTGCTCCCTTCTTTGCTTTCTCCCCTTCTCTTCCTCCTCCCTCTCTCCCTGCAATTTCTGTCTCTCTCATCTCTTTATCCCCTTTCCTCCTTTTCTCTCTTTCTGTCTCTCCATTCCCCTTCCCCTTTCTCTCTTCTGCTCTTTCTTATTCTCTCTAAGTTTCTTCCCTTTCTTAGATGAAATTATGAGAGATCGTGAACAAAACAGGAAGGTATTATCGAAAGTTTTTCGTGGTTAAAACAAATGACCTTTTTGTCACCTCTAACCACTCTCTTTTGTTAACTTTTCCTAACTTTGGTGGCATTTGGTTTTCGATCAACTTCTAAACTAGCAGGCCCTTGGAGCCCTTGTCTCGTCTGGCTTTCCTATCACTAGAGAGGGGAGTGAGGAGATGGAATGGGTGATTATTCCTGGAGCTGTGTCGAGGCTCTCCTTCTACTTGGACAGAACAGCCGGGAGATCTCAGAGCTTTCTCTGGGAGTAATGAAGGTGTGTTCCTGCAGAAGAATATTTGCACTTGAGAAAGTAAACTAGCAGCAAGGACAGTGTATGTACATGGTTGGACAGTGAGGCTGAACTGCATAAGAAAAGGAAAGCCAGAGTTGTAAAACTTAGGGAACCAGACATAACAGCAGATAACTGGCAAAAATAGCTTTGGACTGCAGGATGAGACTGGGAAACAGTTAATCTGCTCATCTGAATGCCCCATTATAAGAACACTTTCCCAACCACCTCCAGCAACTAGGCTATCTCTTCTTCCAGAGATACTTGATCAGATTAGAAATGGACTTTAGGAATCATTGCCACCTTCCCTTTCTATTCAAATGTTTTGTCTCTTGTTGAGTTTGGAAGTAAGTACTTTCTGGATTAAACTGTTGTTTATTTCCCCAGTCTACCTGATTGTCTAATCCAATCCCCAGGTGCACTGGGTGACAGCTTTCCCAAGTGTCAAATTCTGATGCCTCCATTTTGGGCAAAGACTCTTTTTGACTTGGGAGGGGAGTGCGGTGAGGGAGTAACTTTTTTTTTCCATTTTAAATAGAAAGTGCCAAATGAATGTAAAAACCTCCTTACTTGCCTAACTGAAGACTGATTGCTGGGAAGGCTCCTGGTTTAGCTAACAAATTTCCTTTCTGTATCAATTTGTGAATGGTGCCTCCATTTATTCCTTCCTCTAATTGTTCCGGCTTTGTTTATAGGAAGCCAAATAATAGATGAAATGACTTCAGGAGTAACTTGGAGTAAAATCATACACACAGATATTGTTCTCTTCTCCTTTCCCTTATTATTATACCTTCTGACTCCAAATTGCTCAGTTGAAGAAAAAATTCTAGATGAAAAAGAGTAGAAAGGATAGAGAAAGCACATCAGACATTTTCTTGACTTGAATGGTGTGTCATGTTAAAATGCTGCAGTGATATGGCAGTCATAATGGGGAGACTTGAAGTATGTCAAAGCTGTCCCTTGATCTGAAAAGGAGGTATTCCGAGACAATCCCAGAATGTGTCCTTCTCTTTGGTCCATTCATTCAAATAGATATCTACTTATTGAGCACTTGCTGTATGTAAGTGTTAGGGATACAAAAATACAAGACAATCAAAGAAGTCTGATTTGTTGCAGAGACCTAGCCAAGGGAGAAATTGGTTGATGACCACCTTCCCCCATTTAATTATCTTTTATACTTTTAGCCATAATGTAACTGAGAATTTGTCCTTTTAATGATACTTGCCCTCCTTTCCTTTAAACTAAGCATTGACATTGAAGTTCAATAACTTTCAAAAGATGCTTTCAGACTAGTTTTGAAATATCAGTATGCATTGTTAGACCTACAGTGATCCTGAATCATTTCCAGCATCCTTACTTAGGGAAACAATGATTGAAATCAGCGTTGTTTCTAATATACTTAGGGAAGCAGTAGTTAAAGTTAGCTTTACTGGAGGCAAGGTAATATTAGCCCAGTGACACCTAAGTTTATAGCCTATGAAATCTCACTAGAATAAAAATGCTGCCTCTTAGTGCTGTGCTTTCATAAGTCACAGTCTAGATAAGTAGAGGCAGAATGGTACAGTGGAAAGTGTGCTGTGGAGTCTGAGTACCTTGGTTCTAATCCCAGTCGTACTATTTACTACTTACCTTTATTATTCTGGGCAAATCATTGAACCTCTTTGGTCTTCAGATCCTCTTCTATAAAATGAGGGGATTTAACTGGACAGCTTCTAAGGGCTTTTCTATCTCTAAATCCATGAACCTATCATTGTAATAGGCAGTTAGTTATACATCGGGACAGATTTCTGCCCTTCCTACCCCACCTCAAGGTAGCATCTAGTGGGGCATAGCCATACAGATATAAGATGTGTAGCATTAGATGGGCCTTGGTTCCATGTCCTTGTTTCTTAGTAATCTAGTTAGGTCTCTCCTTGAGGGTCAGAACCAGATTTCCCCTTGAATTTGATTCCTTCTGTTATTGATACCCATGTCCTTTCTTGTTAAAAGTGATAATCTCTAACCTAAATCAAATCCAGAGTGGACATTGATTTCTGGGAAATAGTTTCAGTTTATTATATGCATTTAAAAAATGGAATGGAATGGGATCATCACAACTAAAATATTTACTAATGCTGTAAGAAATTGAATAATTTGAGAATAATGTCTTCTGCTGCTAAGATGATGATTGTTCCTTTCTAATTCTGAGGCTATAATCACCAGTTATCTCAATATCAGGAATAAGGGCATAGAAATAGTACATTCTCCCAAATCTGTTTCTTTTAATTTCTATTCTCATCACTCAGATTAATTAAGGGTCTCATTATCTCTTCAAACTGGCTTCTTCTCCTTTCTTTGCTTCCATCAAACTATTAGTCTTTCCTACATACTATTGCCAAATTAATCTTCCTAAATCATGTCTTCTCATGTTTAAGAATCTTTGTTGGCTAATTAAAGTTAGACTCCTCAGCCTGGTCTTGAAGGCTATGCAAAACATAGCTTAAGTTCACCTTTCTGGCTTTATCTCCCACTATTGACATTAACATAGATTACCTTCCAAAATTGTTATTGGATACATTGTTCTCCTGGTTCTGCTCACTTCTCTTTGTATCAGTTCATAGAAATTTTCCCAGGTTTCTCTGGAATCATCCCCTTTAGTTCCTTGTTCCTTATTTATCCTTCCTGGAACATGTCTTAGTTTTTTTCCACATCTGCCACTTTGCTGATTCTAGTCCCAACTCCTGGGAAAGCTCCTCCTCTTCCTCACTTCCTTCCTTAGGGAAACTGCCCAAATCCTTCTTTCTTGTTTAGACTTCCCTCAAGTATCGCCTCAATGTTCATGATGCTGAATGAATTGTATATCTTCTGTTGCTGTAAAATAACCAAAAAATTTTCAGAAAAAGAACCAACTGACTTGGGAATTAAAATTGATCTTTTGAAACATAAATATGTCACACAAACTTCTGATGGAATAAGTGATGGTTTTTTGGTGTTAGATGATAGGAAAGGCAAGTAGTGAATATAGAATTCAATCTGGTGTGAGGAAGAGCTAGGTATAGATTCTACCTTGGACAAATTATTAGTGTCGTGCTGAGCAAGTCATTCATCCTCTCAGTGTCTTCATCTCTAAAATGGGAATGATAATGGTATTATACTTATTGTATAGGTTCTTGATGAGGATGAAAAGAGATAATGTGAAGTACTTTGTGAATCTTAAATGACAGTTCTCATAGGAGGTAGCTCTTAAACTTTTTTCTGTCTGCTTAGACATTTGGATAGCATCTATTGTCTGGCAGCAACACTGAAGAGGCAACTAGAGCCTTTTAAAAACAAAATGCAGCCATTAAAGTAGGGCTTAAAGAAGCTTGCTTAAATGCTGGATCAACAAATCAATCAGTGAGCACTTATTAAGTTTCTGCTCTGTTCTAGGCACTGTGGTTTCTCAGATAATCTTAGTGTTAAATGTTCTAAATTGTACCTCACTCTCCAAAAAAGTGACTGACATTTTTTCCCTCAACCATAGTGTCAGTTCCATTAACTATTCAATCCAGGAGGCTACATGATAATTATAAATTACCAGCCCTGCCAAGGGCAGAGCCTGACTTAGGACAGTCCACTGGTAGTTTAGGTTTGATATTGGAACAAAATGATCATTCAGTATTTAATAAGAGGAGATTTATTTAAGTTGTCACAAGGAAAAGGATAGTTGAGAAGAAATGTCATGGAGTACCCTTTGGGTCGATTCCACAGATCAAAATTCTCTTGCCTGAGTTGCCCATTGTGATATTGAGCTATTTGGTACTCAGGTGATGAGAAAGTGATCTCAGCAGCCAGAGCCTTTAGCTCCTTGAGCCAGCCAAGTCTTCAGTATGGTCTTAACATTTTTCAGGGGAAAACCAGCTTAAATTACATAGGGGGATTGGAGTGGGGTAGATTAAGATATTACTCCTACCACAAATGGTATAGTTTTCAAGTTAAGAGTGATTTGGATGAGAGAACATGATTGGAATTTATACTAAAATGCTGGAGTTGAAGAAAATACTGAAGGTTTTTTTCTGATTAAAAATGCTTAGTTTTATTTAAAATAATTTTTCATGATATCTACAATTGCTGCTTTTCCATAAATTATCTATAACATTAGAGATTCTATTCTCTATGTATTGATGACCAATATAGAAGAGACAGTCTAAAAATGCCTTTTAAAAACTACCTGTTCTGATGAGGTATGTTTTTAGCTTGGCCATTTCAGTGTTTGAGATTGCTAGATTTGCATCAGTCTACAGGCTTGAAAAAACTAGAGTAGTCCCTGTGTTAATTAAATGTTTAATGAGTGCCTGATGTGCACTATAATCCTTTGGGGGAATATAAAGAATTCTGGGAAGTGGGGAGTATGGTACCCCTGCCTTAGTGGAGTTTACAATCTACTCGAAGAAATGACTCATGATTGGATGAAATGATGACTAAGAATTTAATAAGCAAATAAAACGTGTCATAAGATTCTCTACCATCTATAACTTAAAACTGTAGAGTTGCACTAAGAGATAAAGTAACTTGGTTTGCCATTTCCTTCTCCCCCTCATTTTACAGATGAGGAAACTGAGGCAAATGTGATTAGGTGACTTGCTCAGGGTCACACAGCCAGTAAGTGTTTGAGGCTGAATTTGAACTCAGATCTTCCTGACTGAAGTCCCCAGTGCTTAATCCACTGCGCCACCTAGATGCAAGGTCATATATTGAGTATAGGTCAAAGCAGGACTTGATTTCAGATCTTTCTGATTCTAAGGCCTTTTATTCACTACACCATGTTGTTTCTTATTCTTTTTCTTTAGGCCTTGAATATACACTACTACTATTCATCCCATGATGAAGTGAAGGTTGTAGTTTGATGGATGGTTTTGAACTAAATTTTTAGGTTGTGTGAGGGTCCATATCTAAGTCATCTTGGGTTTATGTAAATGAAAGGTAACTTCTTTTGGGTTTCCAACTGGATTATTGGATGGTGCTAGACCATACACTGTCTCTGCTTTGTTCTTGACCCACTTACCCACTGTTTAGGAGGGAGATGCAATTAGAGAGCAAGGAGGGCTCAGAGGGATTATGTGAAGGATCAAATCTCTTCTGGAGGGCATTTGGCTATTTCTGTAGTGGCTGGCATGTGAGATGAGTTGGGGGTGCTTGGCTATTCGCGAATGTGTGTGTGTATGTATTCTCAAAACTGACTGACCTAGTCTTGATATTTATGGTTTCAATTTCCATTATTCCTAATTGCCTTCTAGTCATCACAGTCATCCCACTTATCCCAGGAATTACCCCTTCCCCCTCCCCAAATTCTTGTAATTGAAATTTGCTCCCAGCAGTTTGGTACCCAAGAGATTTGCCTAGCCTGCCAGGATGGGAATTGTTTGACCCTATTAATGTAAAAATGAGAAAACCTTTGAAAACCTGATTTCATGAATGGCTCTCCCTGTCTCTTTGCAGGATATTAACCAGAAGCTTCAAGAAGACAACCAAGAGCTGAGGGATCTTTGTTGTTTCCTGGATGATGACAGGCAGAAGGGAAAAAAGGTGTCACGAGAGTGGCAGAGACTGGGCAGGTATACGGCTGGGGTGATGCACAAGGAAGTGGCCTTATATCTGCAGAAACTGAAGGAACTTGAAGTGAAGCAGGAAGAGGTTGTCAAGGAGAACATGGAACTCAAAGAGCTCTGCGTGATGCTGGATGAAGAGAAAGGTGGCTGTGCTGGCAGTCGGAGCTCCATTGACAGCCAGATCAGCCTGTGCCAGCTCACAGCCTCGACTGCCCCCTACGTGCGGGATGTGGGGGATGGCAGCAGCACCTCGAGCACGGGGAGCACCGACAGCCCTGACCACCACAAACATCATGCAAGTGGCAGCCCTGAGCATCTCCAGAAACCCAGGGCTGAAGGGAGTCCGGAACACTCAAAGCACAGGAGTGGGAGTCCAGAACACCTGCCCAAACCAAGGGTTTCTGGGAGCCCAGATCACCAGAAACAGCTCAAAGGACCCAGTCCAGAGCATCACAAAACCATAGTCAAGGGCAGCCCTGAACAGCAGAAGCACACGGGTGGTAGCCCGGAGACCCTGCCAAAGCATGTGATCAGCAGTAGCCCTGAACATTTTCAGAAGCACAGGCCTGGCGGAAGCCCAGAACACCAAAAGCACAGCGGTGGTAGCCCCGAGCACCTGCAGAAACACATCTTGAGTGGGAGCATGGAACACCTTCCAAGAGTGAGAGGGACCAGCCCGGAGCATCTCAAGCAGCATTATGGGGGCAGCCCAGAGCATCACAAGCACATGGGTGGAGGAGGAGGCAGCAGGGAAGGCACACTTCGGAGGCAGACCCCTGACGACATGTCACCTCATCACAGGAGTGTATACAGTGGAATGAATGGTGGGTCAGTACGCGCTATGGGCACCTCTTTTGCTGGAACTACAAACTAGGACCAATAAATAGCATGCCAGTTACACTTTTGAAATGAATAATCATTCTGGGAGGGGGGAAGGATGAAGGATTTATCTAGTTATGACTCTATTGAGGTAATTTTTTTTTTCATTTATAACAGCTAAGTAGTTGATTTGGGGCCAGAGCAGGGAGATGAGAAATCTCACTGTAGCGTGGGGTGTCCAGCATGGAATGTGTGGGTATTCCAACTAGTCTGGAAATTTAAGGTAAAGGCTGGGGAGTCTAAGAAACCTGTCAAACCCAGCCATGCTCTTACTTACCTGTTTTGTCTTGTTGCTGAAGGATTGCCAAAGCTTATTATTTTAATACTACTATTAAGCATATTTGTATAATGAAGTTATCTATGTGAATGTGAAAAAAGAATGAAAAAGGTATAATTTTGCTAGCAGCTAGTTTGATACTTATTTGCCTAAAAAAAAACCAGTGTGTTCCTCATTACACTGGAGGTTGTGCCATAAATCTGGGCTTTTCAATGCATTAAGTTGCTTCTAGAATACATTTTAAATCTTCCCCATCCCCCACCACAATCAGTCAATCAATTGTTCTCTGTTTAAAGGCTTTCAGAAGGTTTTTAAAGGAGTGCACACTCATTTAATTATTAAATGCAAAAGGACTTTTTTCTTCCCAAAGGGGAGGGGTTTAATTTTATCCCTTGAAATGTAGTATGGTACAGTGGAAAATCAATCGGTTTGCAATTAGAGGACCTGGTTTCAAATCCTAACTATGCCTCTCACCACAAAGTCACTGCACCATATTCAGCCTCAATTTTCTCATCTCTAAAATGAGGAGATTGGACTAGATGCCCTTGAGGTTCCCCTTCAGGTTCTACATCGATGGTCCATGATCCTTTAAAATGAACAGGCACAAACTCTGGTTTCTAGGGCATGGTACACCTTGAATTTTCAGAGGCAACAAACCAGAGCTCACTGCCGTTTCCCTCAATAAAGTAGCTTCATTTTCTGCATCTTGGTTTTGGAACCACATTGAATTTGAGAGAGAAACTAGTAATACTTAAAAAAAATCCTTTTATGCTACCTTTGGTCAAGTTAGAATGAAAGTGATTAGTAAGGAGGTTACAAGTTGGCTGGAGGTCCAACCCTTCTATCCCCAGTCGCCCTCTAAAATATTAGTGGCTATTCACTTCATTTAAATGCTGCTTCAAAGACTGCATGAGGGAGGCTCTGATCAGCGTGGAAGGAGACTGCCAATTTTAGTGGTGACACGAAGGGGTGAGTTTTCAATATTGTACTTGAGAATTTATCCGTTGGATTCCATTTCATCTTAATCCTCCTCTCCTGGTACTGAAAATTGACTCCTAAAACTCATAGCTTCTAATGCATTTCTTTCAAAAGCGTAAATAAATGGAAGGAGAAAGGGTAGCAACGTCCCAGGAAGACATTCGTTGGGCAGTTTATGTTTGGAGATGGAGGCTAAGACTGAGGCCACATCATTTGTCAGGCTGTGCCTTCAAGCCTGTCCGAATAGCAGATTGATTAAATTTCAATCACTCCTTGTTTCTCCTGGTCTTTGTGCGGGAATTTTGGGTTTCTTTTTCCCACAACAAGCCAAATAATTTTGATTTTAATGTTACTTATTGTGATGGGAAAAGTTGGCTAGGAAGTTCGACTTTAAGAAGGTATGGACAAACTGGATGAAAAATTAGTAGTACTGTATTTTTCCTTGTCTTGCTTTGCTACCTTACATGTGAAATATAAATATGAGAGAGCCTTGCTTGAAAAACAATAGCATTCCAAAAAAACCCATGCCAAAATGGATACATTTAGAGCCATTGGGTCATTTCACAACGAGGCTCCCTTATTCCAATTAAATGATGATTTTATGGTAGTCATAAAAACCCATACTATGGCCATTCCTTCAAGAACACATCTAGTGCATAAAGCAAGGTATATTTGTTTAGGAAAGAACCATTAGAACAAGACTCTGGACTCATGATTACATGGATTCAGATATATTTGGCATTTCAGATCATGTGTCCTGGGCCCCCCCTTCCCCAATAAGCAAGGATACATTTAGAACCATTGGTTCATTTTACAACAGAATTCTTCTAAATATCACATTTTATGCAGCAAAAATCTGACAATATAGCCTAACTAGCCTGTAGTGCATGTGTGTTCTGCCCTGTAACACAGCATTCCCATGTCTTCTTGCCCTGTTTGCAAATATTTCAGGTCTATTTCAAGTTTATATTTAAGCTATTGCTCATTACTGAGTTACCCTTACCAGAGAACATTCAGAGTTTAGTTTCTAGGCTCTCATTATATTCAGCATATAAGTGTTGGGGGGAGATGGGGCAGTGTTTAACTTGGCAGTCTATGCTTTTTGTTGCAATTCCACAATGTGCTGATTGCACTACACTCTGGAGAATGGAAGAGAATATCATGTTCAGAGGTTAGCTCTAGAACAGTGGCATCCAATTCAGAAAGAAACAGGGCCACTAAATCACCCATAATGAGCCCTTTGGGTCACATATTGACTTAGAAAACCACATTAACATTATATGTGTTCTACTGTGTTTTTGTTTATTTTGTTAAATATTTCCCTATTACAGTTTAATCTATTTCAACCAGCACTCAGGAGTATTGTGGGTTGTTTTTGACACCTTTTCTCTGGAATATCAAACATGGCTATTCAAACCATGATAATTTTGGACAGATATATTTTTATTATGATAATTAACTGATAACTCAGGGGAAGTGACCTTGTTTTGTGGTAGGTAGGGAGAAATGAGACTGAGATGAGAAACTTGTCCTGGACAATTTATCAAGTGGGGAATGGACAAGATGTCATTCTTTCTGGTATCTTACATAAGAAATAAGTGAACATTGGTGGAAAGGTCATGTTGGTACCTTACAAAACTAGGTTTGAGCATCTTCAAACCATGTTGAGCTTTCAGTTGGGAAATAAAGGGACAAAGCAGCTTATACGTGTGCCCGTCAAGATTTTCCCTTTGTTAAAGCAGCAGGCCTAGTCTCCAAGTGAAATGTGAAGTGGATGAGAGGGTTCTTCTCTTTTCCCCTTATACAAGTCTGTCTGGTGGTTGCTCATTTAGTCCTTGTAAAAAACAAACATTCAAAACACACCATGAAACATTTTATTTTTCAGATATTTTACTCTGCTATCTTTAGGCAAAATTACAATTTGGGAAAGGCCATTTTGAAAAAAGGAAGTTGATGCATCATTCTTGGTGTTCGTACACGAAAGCATTTTGGTTGTGGCTTACTGCATTTTGTATTTGAAAACAAAGCTATCAGCCCCACATAAGCTGTGCTTTGTTAGCATGAGCTAGGCAGACTTAGTCCCTCAGAATGGAATTTTCACTCACCTGTCTCCATGGGGAGTTGGGATTATGTTTAGGCCTTTTAAGGTTAAAGTGCTCATCCTCCTAAAGCCAGTGAACTCAGGAAGCCAGCTAGCAGATTGATGGGCCTTTGACAAGGAACTTTCCTGAATAGGGGTAAGCTCTGTAGTTCTCTTTGTTAGAGGCTGGTCATCTTGCTTACAGTGCAGGTGATTCAGGTTCTTTAGCAGCTGCTTGGTTTGGGAGAGGGCAGTCTTCCAAGTAGGGATCATTTTGCTGATCAGACTGTCCCAAAAAGGAGTTTCCCACCTGGAGATTTTGAGCACCCAGTTGCATTTGCAGGTGAAAAAGATGGCAGACTAGCTGATTTTAGGCAAATAAATTGGGATGAATGCAGAAATCCAGGGCGTATTTCTTTTCCATCTTTTAAAAGTGATTGTTTGAATCCACTTAGCCAAAAGAATTAAATATAGTTCTTTTTAGGCTTTGATTTAAAGCCTTCCGAAGTCTGCTTCTAGCCTCCCTTTCTAGCCTAATTTTTTATTACTGTCCGTCATATCCTCTATGTTCTAGCCAAACTGAATCGTTAGCTATTGCCTAAATTCAGTCTTCCATCCTCTGCCACCCTACATTCAGGTAGGCTGTTCCCCTTGCCTGGAACATATTCCCTTAGCTCTAACTGTTAAAATTCCTCTTTCCCCATCAAGGCTCAGTTTTTAAGCCTTCCCTGATCCCCATCATAGTTGAAAGTGTTCTTTACCTCCCTCAAAGTTACTCTAGATCTCTCCTTTGCCCCATCGCTCCTTAACTTGTATTATGCTTACCTGTGTACATGTTATATGCCCTGTAGTAGACTGTAAGCTCTTTGAGGGCAGGGACTCTGGAGTTTTTTTTCCACTTGTGTATCACCAGCACCTGACACATCACCTTGCACGTAGCAAGTGCTTAATAAACGTTTATTGAATTGAAATCTGTTGGTTTTAATTCACTTTCTTATGATGAAAAACTGCTTCCATTTTGATTTCATTTGTTGTAGGCTTTCCCGTTGAATTCGGAACCCTTCAAAGGTTTTGCCTTCTAGCAAATGCCTTGTCAGGGTAATAAGCTCTCTCTTCCTTAATTGTTCAGGCTGATCCTCTGCCACTTATCATGTTCAGTTTGGTTTGCTAAATGAGTGGTACTAATTAAGGGGGAGGAAGGGATGTCTGAGAAAAGAGATGGGAAGGCACAAGTCTCTCTCTCTATTCTTCTATCCCCTCCCATTTCTGAGTGAGCCATTCGAAGAAACAGGAAGTGTGGATGAACAGGTGCTGATCCCATGATGCCAGCAACGGTTCCATTTGTCATGCCCCTGCTTAAAAATCGCCAGTGGCTCACTATTGCATACTGAGTAAATTTCACACTCTTTTGCCAGGCAGTCGAGATCTCATACAATTGGGTACCATTTTGTTGCTCAATACTCACTGAGCATTATTTTTCCTGCATGCTGTTCCCCAATTAAATCAGGTTTTGCTCTACTGACATGCACTTTTCTGCCTCCATACCTTTGTCCACACTGTTGCCTGTATTTGGAATGTTCAATAGGTGCTGAAGTTCTATACATCCTTTA